GACACACAAACATCCCCACAGACACACAGCGCCTCCTGCCTGGCAGTGGAAGTTGGGGAAGGGGCAGATGATCTTGCAGATGCCGATGAAGAACAGCGAGGGGAAGGCCGGCGGCAGCAGGAAGCGGTACAGACCCGACACCACCTGGTCCTGGATGTCCAGACCCAGCTGGGCTCCGTCCAGGAACCCGTACCGGAAGTTGTACCCGGTGCAGAACATCAGGACGTCTGCCCCGCCCACCGAGCCGTCCTGGGACCAATCACAGGCAGGTTACCGTGGCGCTAAACTTTATTTGAACATTTAACTCAACGATACAGTTTACTGGACGTCAGAGCGGCCAAAGAAACGACCACAGAACAGCCCGAGACAGAGGAGGACCTCCAGCGATCCTCCATGAAGTCAGTGTTTACTGAGCTGGTCGGGTCTCACCTGGAAGCGGATCCTGCCGTCGTCCTCGACCGCCACCACCGAGCTGGACTGCTGGATCCCGGCAGGTAGAGGGAAGGTGAGGCGAGGCCGGCGGTGGCTCAGAGTCACCTGGAGGACAGGTGGAGTTCCAGTAAGAGTCAGCAGCTACACTGGAGAAACACACGACTTTGTTTGTTCAGTTAAATTACAGATAATTATTAGAAAAATCACAGCTTTAAAAAAAATAAAAACTCTAAGATGAATTTGAGTGATATCGTATTTTTCTGTATTTAAATCAGAACAAAAACTTAAAGTATTATAAAAATACGATATTAGAAAAATTACAAACTAAAGCGGGTTTAAAACTGATGAAGGAACGATGAAGTCTTTTAGAATTAACAATTTAATTAATTAAGAATTAAACAATTTTTAAATGTATTATTGAAAACTACGTTTTTGGATCGTTTACGGACGTTTCAGATTTCTGCAGGACTTTAAATAAAAATGTCGGAGCTCCTTTTCTCCTTTTTTGTGTTTCTTTGTCGTCATTTTGTGTTTTTGGTTTGTTTGTTTTTTTCCTTTTGTGGTTGTTTTGTGTGTTTTGTTGTCGTCTTGTTTCAAATTCCTGTCGGCCTTTTAACAAAACACTCGTCCAGGTGGAAGCGAGTGGAGCTGAAGAGTCGTGGACGGTTCTACTCAGGTCGGTGACGTTCCATCCTGATGTCAGAACTTTGTGGCTGAAACGCTCGTTTAAAGTTGATCCGTTTTCTACGTGGACACACAAACCCGTGTGAAGCTGTGGTTCGCGCTCCAGAGCTGCTGCTGGGTTTCGGTCGTTACCTGAGCGCCGGCTTTAGCCAGCTCGATGGAAATGTCCAGACCCGAAGCTTTGGCTCCCAGAACCACCACCGACTGACCCGAGAACGGCTCCGGAAACCGGTACGAATGACTGTGGAGAACCTTCCCTACAGAACCGAACAGTTTTAGGCTCTGATGAAGGTCGTTTACGTAGCTGCTAATGACGCTAGCAGAACGAAGCATCGCCATTAAAATCAGCAGCAAACACAATCATGAAAGTACAAGTTTACACTTGTGGTGTTAACTCTTACTGTTAGTGCGTCTGTACCTTTGAAGTTGTGTATTCCTGGTATGTCGGGGATGTGCGGGTCGGAGTAGTGGCTGAAAGACACAAAACAAACGTTTAAACGGCTGAACTCAGTGGCGACACCAAGTGGCAACAAGAAGCAACGACGTGAATCAAGTTCTGT